ATCACGCCGCCGCAGCAATCGATCACGCCACAGCTGCTTTCCGTCCTAGCCGCTTCTCCTTTCTGCCCTTGCATTCAAGTCCACACGTGGTTCTTGAGCTCCTAGTACACTCGCAGCCGCTGTTGAGTACCGGCCTCCCCTTTCTAACTGGTTTTCCTTGCTGTTCCATTTTCATATTCACAAACTTCTGAACTTAAATCATCATTCAGTGGCCCTCACTTTCCTTTAGCAGTTCATTTTGTCACTTGTATCTTTTTGTTTTTACTATAGAAGACATTCTCTTTATTCGTTTGTTTAAAAACTTATGAGCTTGTTGGTTTCTGGATTAACAAGAAACCCAAAACACTACAACCTACATGGATGGAACCGGACGTGATGTGAGATGAAATCAGCCAGACCCAGGAAGACAAACTCCTCACGTCCTCACTCGTATGTGGGAGCTGCACATTTTCAGAGCTGAACTCGTGGAGATAGAGAGTAGAACGATGGGTCCCAGAGGCTGGGAAGCGTAGCAGGGAGGTGCGGAGAAAGTGGGACAGCTAATGGGTACAAAAATAGAGTTAGAATGATCAGATCTAGTGTTTGGTAGAACAGTGGGGCGACTACAGTTACTAATTTATTGTATACTTAAAAATGACTAAAAGATTGGAATTGGAATGTTCCTGACACAGAGAAGTAACAACTTGGGGTGGTGGATACCCCAGTTACCCTGATTTGATCATTATACATCATATGCCTGTATCAAAACTTCACAGGTACCCTATAAATGTATATATAATGATTATATACCCATAATAACTTTTTACAAAACACCCTAAAACACTGTGGAGCCCTCTTCCCATTCTGTACTCCAGGAGCAGGACAGCGGTTATGCCAGTAATCCAAAATGGATTTATTTGTTGTTGTTTGTTAGTGTTTTGTTTGAGAGCCAAGGTCTCGCTGTCACCCAGGCTGGAGTGCTGTGGTGTGATCATAGCTCTGTGTATCCTCAAAGTCCTGGGCTCAAGAGATCCTCCCGCCACAGCCTCCCGAGTACAGGTGTGTGCCACCACACCTGGGTAATTTTTATTTTAGTTTGTTTTTTTGTAGAGACTGGATCTCTCTAATGTTGCCCAGGCTGGTCTTGAAATCCTGGCCTCAAGCGACCCTCTCACATCAGCCTCCCGCATGCTGGGATTCCAGACGTGAGCCACTGTGCCTGACTAGATTTATATTTGATGCCGATGTGATTCTGTAACATTTTCCCACAGCACGACTACCCCCCAGTGGAACTGTGTAAAGATTAACACATACGACCTCAAGGAAAGGGTTGGCCTAGAAGAATTTTGGGGATGTAGAAGATTCACCCTGAGAATACGCTGGGTGCCTAGGTCCTGCTCGTCAACCTGCCACTTAACTAGTGTGTGACCTCTCACCTCATGGACGTCTCTGGACCCTTCCTGGCCTTTCTGGAAAGACTTCAGCCCTTTTGACCCTGTGGATCGGTGTGTAGTGACGTAAGGATATTACGCCAGGTGATGATGTGTTCTCTCTTCCTCACAGAGTGAAGGCTGCGCAGACTGAGTTAGGACAGCAAATCCTGGCCGATTTTGAAGAAGCGTTTCCTTCCCAGGGCACCAAGGTACTGCTCTGCGTTTCCCCGTCTTTAGAGATGACCGGCATCCTTGCCGAGCTTATGCCCACCCCGGTCACCACGCGGTTGTCATTCCCGTCGTGCCCGCTGGCAGCTGCAGATCCGTCTGCTGCAGGCTCAGGGTAATGAGACCATCCTGGATTTTAAATGTCCCAAGGTGGTGGCAGTTCCTCCTCTGTTTCCTTCCAGCCTCAGAAAGGGAGGATTTGTTCGGGCTTAATTTAATGTAGGTCAAACCTTCTATCTTGTCTGCCCTGTCAATTCCTTTTTTCTCATGGCTGTATTTTAAAAAGATCCTCATACTGCAATGTTTTTAGGATTGTTACGTAACTTACTGGTTTTGGTTTGGTGAAAAGACAACTGGGCGGAGCACCCACCGGCTTATGTGACTCTCGGAGTGACACAGTGAGGAGCCTCACTGTTACCGACCGTGAGCCTGCTCTTCGGAATTAATGCCCTTGAGCGCTCTGGTAGCAGAGCTGTTTGTGTTGTGTCTGCAAAGCCCACAGCATTTCACGTGGGAGCTGCTGGTTGCACTTCTCATGTAACAAGCTTTCTCCCGCTCGGCGGTCATCCTGCTTGGGGAACTGCTTTTAGCTCCACCCTTCCAACTGTAGCAGATGCCATCTTTATACCTAGCATGTGTCGGACAGGAAAGAACCATACAAGCCCTTTTCTCTATTATTTGAGCTATTTCAAGAGAAAGAATTGTTCAAGGCAGGAATATACTGAAGCATTCAGGGGCAAGGAGCCTGACCCTACTCTGTGGGTGGAGATGGGGACATTACTGATCCAAGGAACATTTCCGGCGTCTGCTCTGTAATTCAATAACTGGAAATATCTTAATTATTTTTTCTTTGTGTTCCATAAAAGAAACGTAGGAAGTAATTGGGAGTAGCGCCCCCAGCTTTTGCCCATCACTTTCTATAGGAATTCCGCTCCTGATTTTAATGTCTTCACATTTTGTGGCTGTCTGCTAGTAATCAGATGCTTATTTGTAAAGCACTTTTCTTGGAGAACCTGATATTCCTTAGTCATCTGATGTAACTGCAGGGAGGGAGTAGATATTAGAAAGCCATTAGTCCTATTTATTACATGAGGAAAATGAAGGCCAAAGAAGTAAAAAAGGATTGTAGGGGTATTCGCTCTTGAGAAGCACTGGGCGCTTCTTAGGACAAGGTTAGCTTCACGTGTACTCAGCTGCCCATTTTAGGGTTGTTTTTTTTGTTTTGTTTTTTTGATGGAGTTTCACTCTTTGGCCCAGGCTGGAGTACAATGGTGCCATCTTAGCCCACTGCAACCTCCACCCCCTGGGTTCAAGCAGTTCTCCTGACTCAGCCTCCCGAGTAGCTGGGATTACAGGCACCTGCCACCACGCCTGGCTAATTTTGTATTTTTAGTAGAGACGGGGTTTCTGCGTGTTGGCCAGGCTGATCTCGAACTCCCAACCTCAGGTGATCCGCCTGCCTCGGCCTCCCAAAGTGCTGGGATTACAGGCGTGAGCCACCGTGCTCGGCCACCCATTTCAGCTTCTAGAAATTTCAGGAAGATGTGGATGAAGCCCATCTTTATTATTTAGAAGAGACCTACTTTATATCTTTTTTCCCAGATACCACTGGGCAGATGAAATTAAAATGGTTCTAACAGCATGCCTCCCTTTTCTCTCGCGTAGCGACTGCATGAGATGAAATTAAAATGGTTCTAACAGCCTCCCTTTTCTCGCGCGTGGTGACTTCATGTTTGTGTGTGTGGTTTTGTTTTTGTTTTTGTTTTCTTTTTTTGAGATGGAGTCTTGGAGTCTCGCTCTGTCGCCCTGGCTGGAGTGCAGTGGCGCGATCTCGGCTCACTGCAAGCTCCACCTTCCAGGTTCACGCCATTCTGTTGCCTCAGACTCCCGAGTAGCTGGGACTACAGGTGCTCGCCACCACGCCCGGCTAATTTTTTGTATTTCTTTTTAGTACAGACGAGGTTTCACCGTGTTAACCTGGATGGGTCTCAATCTCCTGACCTCATGATCGGCCCGCCTCAGCCTCCCAAAGTGCTGAGATTACAGGCATGAGCCACCGCGCCTGACCTAGTTTTCTTTTTTCCTTTTTAAAGACTATGGGCTTTATTTAAAGGCCCTGTGTTACTATTTCTATTTCACAAACGGGAATTAAGATTTTAAAAAATAAATGGAAGTTAAGATTTAAAAAAATTTTTCCAACGCAACCTAGTAAACTCTTTGTAAATGAAAAATCTGAACACGCAAACCCATAGGTTTTGGCCTCTGTGACTTCTCTGTGGGGTCACTTTCATCCTGAAGCGAGAATTGAGAAGTTAGGGTGTTCAGCGGATGACATAAAAGCCACTCAGCATGGAGTAAGTCAACCTTTTAACAATTTAGGTCTCAGGCAGCTTATATCACACTTTGGAAGCAGTGGAGCTTCAGTTGAGATGGATGGAATTGGAAAGAGTTGACAAAAAATAAAATAAAGATTTAGAAGAACCTTACTCATCACCTAGAGTCGATTGTTTTTCAGGTGAGGCCGAGTAAGTGCGTCGAAGCTGCATGCACGGCTTTTTAGCCAAGCCAGGAGCAGATTCCAAGTGTTCTTTTCAGTGTAGTCTACTTAGCCGGCACGTTCACTCAGTGACTAGTCTGAGCAAAACTTGGGTCACAAAGACCTTCCCATCATGACGTGTCAGTCCAGCCCCCGTTACCTTTCCAGTGTTCATTCAGGCCAGTATCACGGGGTTTTCTCTTTGGCTGCCTTTCTAGATGGCTCACTATCGTGGAGCACGTGTCATGGCTTGGAACCTGGTTTCATGTGTTAAAGGCGACCACACTATTTGGCAAAAACATAGCACTTTAAGAACAGGAATCCCAGAGATTGGAGTCAGGGAAAAGTGGCACATGTGGAGAGAGGCCGGTGGCATCCCCACTCTTGGGAGAGAGGCCGGTGACATCCCCACTCTGAGGAGAGAGGCCGGTGACATCCCCACTCTGAGGAGAGAGGCCGGTGGCATCCCGACTCGTGGGAGAGAGGCCGGTGACATCCCCACTCTGAGGAGAGAGGCCGGTGACATCCCCACTCTGAGGAGAGAGGCCGGTGGCATCCCCACTCTTCGGCCTCTTCAGTGGTGTCTTCTGACGTCAGAGACCAGTGGTGTTCGAACTTTTAGGTCTCTTTTAGTTATGGTTTGCAGAAAGTCAAATTTCCCATGATCATTACTGCCTGTTTCCCAAAAGATCTCATTGCAGATTCACAGGGTAGGTTTCGTGTCTCCTGCTGTAAAGCGAGTGTAAGGATTGCGTCCTCGAGGAACAACAGGTAACTGACGGGTCCATCCATAGTGGAAAGAATGAGCGTAAAGGAGCAGGAGAAGACTCACCATGCGTAGAGACAAGAAGTAGCGGCTGTGAGAATCCATGAGGTTTAAAGGTGGTTTCTGGCTTTTAATCTGGTACATGTTGTTTGTTTTACCAGAGACCCGGAGGACCCAGCAACGTTCTACGAGATGCGTGTCTGGTTGCTAATATTCTAGACCCCAGGATCAAACAGGAAATCATCAAAAAGTTCATTAAACAGCATCTGTCAGAGTATCTAGTACTTTTTCAAGAAAACCAAGATGTAAGTATTGACCAAATGAGATCAGATGTAACCTTTGAATTTTATTGAAAAATGAATGCTGTCAAGCCTGCTGATTTAGACTTCCTTTTAGTGTGACTGTCTTCCAGTGTTGATTGTTGAGCTGTGAGTCCTAGGGGCTGACTTTATAGTTCTTAAGTCTTTTGAGGTCACTGACCCTTTGGAGAAATTCAGAAACATGCACCTGTGCATAAAATTCTGCTTATAGTTTCTGGAAATGTATAGACCCCTGAAGGCCAATCATGGACCCCAGGTTAAAAACCTCTGGATTTTGTGTGTGTGTGTGTGTGTGTGTGTGTGTGTGTGTGTGTGTGTGTGTGAGAGACGGAGTTTTGCTCTTGTTGCCCAGGCTGGAGTGCAGTGGTGCGATCTCAGCTCACTGCAACCTCCGCCTCCTGGGTTCAAGCGATTCTCCTGCCTCCCCCTCCCAAGCAGCTGGGATTACAGGCGCCCGTCACACCTGGCTGATTTTTGTATTTTTTAGTAGGGACGGGGTTTCTCCATGTTGGTCAGGCTGGTCTCGAACTCCTGACCTCAGGTGATCCGCCCGCCCTGGCCTCCCAAAGTGCTAGAATTGTAGGCCTGCATCACTGTGCTGAGCCAAAAACCTCTGGATTTTTAAGTAAAAAATCAAGTAAAAAACGTGGCCTAGATTCTTTAAAACCATGAGAAATACGGAGGTTGGTTCCGTTTTGCTTGGCTCTGTGTTTTTGCTTGTTTCCTTAAACTGCCAGTTCTACTTCTAACCACTGGGGTGGTTTTTGATCTTCACCTTCACCAGGTTGCTTGGCTGGACAAAATCGACAGACGCTACGCCTGGATAAAACGCCAACTTGTGGACTATGAGGAGAAATACGGCCGCATGTTTCCACGTGAGTGGTGCATGGCTGAGAGGATTGCGGTGGAGTTTTGCCACGTGACAAGGTAGGTGCCAGTTCTCTACTGGTTTTGTTGTTCGTCGAAGTTTCACCATCAGTTCCCCAGTCTCTAGCGGTTCCATGTTGTCCTGTGGATTTGGTGCCACCTCCAGACCTCACCAGATGATTGATGCCATCCTCGTACCCAACGGTGGCCCCACCGGCTGCTCCCTCTGCCCCCGTCTTTGCTCTGGGACGTTCCTTGGTGTAGTTCTTGCCTCAAGCAGTCTCTACCTTCTCCACCAACTCAAGGCTTGTCAACCAGCTTGACTTACAGCGATTCCTCTACCCCACGTTTTCTCCAGTCGATACCGCGTATGTCAGTGTGCTGTGTGTGTGTCCCATCATCGTTTTTATTTTCTGACTTGCTAGATAGATAGTTCCATAGAGACAGGGCAGTATCTACCTTAATGACATAGCAGACACTGAGGAAGCTTGTGTTGAGTGAGTTTCCCACTCCCAGTACAGTGTGTGTAGCCTCTGGATAGTTAGAGCTTTTATTTTGAGACAGAGTCTCACTCTGTCACCTAGGCTGGAGTGCCGCAGTGGTACTGTCCCAGCTCACTGCAACCTCCGTTTAGTGGGTTCAAGTGATTCTCATGCCTCAGTCTCCCAGGTAGCAAGGATTACAGGTATGTGTAACCACACCTGGCTAATTTTTGTATTTTTAGTAGAGATGGGGTTTCACCATGTTGGCCAGGATGGTCTTGAAGTCCTGACCTCAGGTGATCTGCCCGCCCATCTCGGCCTCCCAAAGTGCTGGGATTACAGGCATGAGCCACTGCACCTGGCCTGCATCTGAGCTTTCCAAGCATTTTAAAGACCTTCTTTCATTCATCCTCTCTACATTATCCATGTGTGTAGCCCAAGAACAGATAGTCTGTTTATATTAAAAAAACTAAAGCCCAGGAAGGTTAAATCAGTAAATCTATGACAAAGCTAAAGCCAGAGTCAGACGGGGTCTCACTCTGTCACCCAGACTGGAGTGTAGTGGTGTGATCACGGCTCACAGCAGCCTTGACCTCCCCGGCTCAAGTGATTCTCCCACCTCAGCCTCCGGAGTAGCTGAGATTGCAGGTGTGTGCCACCACACCGGCTAATTTTTGTGTGTGTATTTTTTGTAGAGACAAGAGTTTGCTATGTTGTTCAGGCTAGTCTTGAACTCCTTTTAATTCTTTGTTTGCAGCTACACTACAACAGTGTTGGTAACTGGTTCGTATTAGTTATATATTTTTCCCCAGTGGTACACAGTTATATCTAAAGCCAGGTGAAAAAGAGAAAAAAAAGCCCATATCTAAGCGTAACTCAGCCACCTTCCCAGAATTCATGGTGGTCTTTTTGTTAAGATCATGGAAGGTATAGTCAAATTACATGTTTTAAACACATCGTGGGGGAAAAGTGTTTTAAGGGATATTGGCTTTTCTTAAAATAGATTTCATTTTTTAGAGCAATTTGAGGTTCCCAGCAGAATTGAGCAGAAGATACAGAGAGTTCCCAGGTGCTCCCTGCCCCACGTGCATAGTCTCCCCATGGTCAGCACCTTCCACCAGAGGGGTGTATGTGTCACAGCAGATGAAGCTACACAGACACATCATCATCACCCAGGGGAAGAGTCCGTAGTTCATGGTAGTGTTCACGCTTGGTGTTCATTCTGTGTGGCTTTTTTCTTGTTGTTTTAAGAGATGGGAGTCTTGCGGTGTTGCCCAGGCTGGAGTACAGTGGCTATTCACAGGCATGGTGATAGCACACCCCAGCCTTGAACTCCTGGGCTCAGGCAGCCCTCCTGCTTCAGCCATCCAAGTAGCTGCAACTGCAGATGCACTCAGCTCCATTCTATGTGGCGGCTCTTCTAAGAAACACATTGGGCCAAGCTTAGTGGTTTATGCCTATAATCCTAGCACTTCGGGAGGCCAAGGCAGGTGGATCATGTGAGCCTAGGAGTTTGAGATAAGCCTGGGCAACATGGCAAAACCCCATCTCTACAAAAAACGCAAAAATTAGCTGGTCATGGTGGCAAGCACCTGTAATCCCAGCTACTAGAGAGGCTGAGGTGGGAGGATTGCTTGAGTCCAGGAGGTCGAGGCTGCAGTAGGCCATGATCGTGCCATTGCACTCCAGCCCTGGGTGACAGAGGGAGACCCTGTCTCAAAAAAAAAAAGAGAGAGAGAGAGCGAGTGAGAGAAAGAAGGAAGTGAGGAAGGAAGGGAGGGAGGGAGAGTGGAAGGGAAAAAGGAAAAGAAAAGAAAGAAAGAAAAAGAAACGCATTGACTCCTGTAGATTTAGAGAACCTTTTAGCCTTGGTTTGAGATCAGTTGAGATTGTCACCTTCTAAATCCCAGTTAACAAAATAAAGAGTGAGTTCCTTGAGAAACTGTTAGCTCATTCCTTTTAGCCTACAGTTCAGCAGACGTGCAAACCGGCTCAGTGAGAAATGGAGCCTGGGAGAGACTGGACGTGTGCCAGAGCCAGCACGTCTCTGTGAGCGCCAGTACCTGCCATTGTTGTCTTGGCTAATGGCAGTGTTGCTGCCAAGTTTCTATTGTTAGAATTTTGGCTAAAATCCTACAGATACATCATTCTTAAATAAACTCAGAGACTCTTTGTTTGATTTCATCATTGGTTTGTGTGGGAAGATGATAGCTTAGTCCTTACTAAGAACTCGCACGTCCCTGTTCACCAGCAACTGAGCGTCTGAGACGGAACGTCTGAGTGAGCTGCACCAGCGCTCCTTGGGCAGGGACCAGCTAAGCGTGCTTGTCACTTTTCCCGCGGCGATCCTGTCCCTGGCATGTTTCCAGGACTTACGCCATCCAGTTGAAGAGATGATTACTGGGCCCTTAGGAAGAGACAAGGGTTTATAATTCAGTAATTAATGACTTGTGAAATTATATAGGATATATACACTAATAAAAAACTAGGTGCTCCATATGTATTATTATCCAATTCTTCAACAGTTCAAAGATACAGGCAATGTAGTAACCGTGAAAACAAATTACTGGTGGCTCCCGCCTGTCATCCCAGCACTTTGGGAGGCCGAGGCGGGCAGATCGCCTGAGATCAGGAGTTTGAGACCAGCCTGGCCAACATGGTGAAACCCCATCTCTACTAAAAATACAAAAAAAAAGAATCATTTGAACCCAGGAGGTGGAGGTTGCAGTGATCGTACCACTGCACTCCAGCCTGGGTGACAGAGGGAGACTCCATCTCAAAAACAAACAAACAAATAATATATATATAAAATCCATAACCCCTGATTTTTTTTGCCTGGTGGATAATTTCACCTTAAAATTCTTGTTTAGAACATGTATTTCTACTCCCTAGATTTTAGACTAAGCTGGTAACAGACCTCAGGGTTTGAAATGACTACGTACGTTTTTTTTTCCTGAATAGAAGTTAAGTCCATTTACTTTGTCTTCTTTTGAATGAATGAGCAGTTTGTTTGATAGTATTCTTATCTCTTTGTTTTGAAGGACAGAACTTGCCAAGATTATGCGTACCAGAGCGAAGGAAATTGAAGTGAAATTGCTTCTTTTTGCTATTCAAAGAACAACTAACTTTGAGGGGTTTCTCGCAAAACGCTTCTCTGGCTGCACCCTGACCGATGGGAGCCTGGTAAGACCTTCCCTAGGGGACTGCCATGTGAAATCAGGGGGTTGGGTGGTTGGGATTCAGTGTTCACTGTGTGGTGACTCTGTCCAGTGGCTTCAGTGCGTACTCCCTCACTGCCGTGATTTCTCTGAGCTGCTGGGAACAGTGATGATAGAGAGCACTCTGTGTGGACTTATCATTTGTCTGTGATGCAGTACCTCATGTTTCTAGAATGCCCTGTCATCGTTTTTCCTAAGTATTGATCCCGTTTTACCGACTAGTAATTTTGTGAGTCAGAGGCCTTACTCGGTCACAAATACCTTATTACTTTATCAGCTGTCAGATTTGGTTGTAATTAGGATATGTTTTTACTTTAGGGTTTACCTTTTAACATCTCTGGTGAGCAAACTAGGTCAATGAGTCTCTGTAAACCCCAAAGCCAGGTATACAGGCCTGGGGACTACACGCCTCCATTGGAAAGGTGGAACATAGTACTGCCGGTTAAACGTTTGTCTCTGTGTAGTCAAAGACCAAGTCCAAATTTTCTCTCTGGAAACCTCTTCTTTTTGGCTCGATGCAGTGACTCACACTGGTAATCCCAGCACTTTGGCAGGCCGAGGCGGGATTGCTTGAGACCAGGAGTTCGAGACCAGCCTGGGCAACATAGCGAGACCTCATCGCTACAAAAAATTAAAAAAAAAAAAAAATTAACTCGGGTGCATCCCTTAGTTCCAGTGACTTGGGAGGCCGAGGCGGGAGGATCACTTCAGCCCAGGAGTTGAGGCTGCAGTGAGCTATGGTTGGTAACATAGTGACACCCTATCTCTAAAATAAAGAAAGAGAAAGGAGTAAACCTCTTTTTGGAGGTCCAGACTCCCTGCTAACACATCAATATGCTATCTTCAGATTTCCTATCCACTGGGAAACCAAGTGACTATGTTCTATGGTCATTTCTGTTTGCATCATTACATATGCGTAGACATTGAGCTCCTTGAATGCAGAAATTGTAGCTGGCTCATCTGTCTCCTCGAGTCGTGCAGAGTATACACAGAACCCATGCAGGCAGGAATGGAAAGGGAAAGAAGAAAGGAGGGAGGGAAGAAGATATCCACGTTGAGAGAATCATACCTTTGAATTTTCTTTTAAGTTAGATTTTGGGTTTTTTTACCTGCTGGTAACAATAGAGAAGCAATGTGATTTAGTAGAAAAGTCCTTGGACCTGCAGTCAAGAGAGAAGATGCATGGCCTAATCCCGATTCCACTGTAACGTAGTGAACTGCCTTCCCTGTTAAATGAGAAGAAAGGACTATCCTTTATTTATTTATTTATTTATTTATTTTTCATTTTGTTTTTTAGACAGAGTCTTGCTCTGTCACCCAGGCTGGAGTGCAGTGGGGTGATCTCGGCTCACTGCAACCTCCGCCTCCTGGGTTCAAGCGATTCTCCTGCCTCAGCCTCCCGGGTAGCTGGGATTACAGGTGCGTGCCACCACACCTGGCTAATTTTTGTATTTTCAGTAGAGACGGGGTTTCACCATGTTGGTCAGGCTGGTCTCAAACTCGTGACCTCAGGTGATCTGCCCACCACCTTGACCTCCCAAAGTGCTGGGATTCCAGGTGTGAGCTACCATGCCCGCCTATCATTTAATAACAGAATATTAGTGAGACTACATAAGACATAAAACCCAAAAGCCATGAAGAAAAGTGCTGAAAGGTTTGACAACATAAAGAGAACAAAATTCTTTTGGAAAAAGAGACCAGAAACCATCAAGGGATTAAAAAACAGTTTAAGCTGGCCGGGCATGGTGGCTCAAGCCTGTAATTCCAGCACTTTGGGAGGCCGAGACGGGCGGATCACGAGGTCAGGAGATCGAGACCATCCTGGCTAACACGGTGAAACCCCGTCTCTACTAAAAAATACAAAAAACTAGCCAGGCGAGGTGGCGGGCGCCTGTAGTCCCAGCTACTCGGGAGGCTGAGGCAGGAGAATGGCGTGAACCCGGGAGGCGGAGCTTGCAGTGAGCCGAGATCTGGCCACTGCACTCCAGCCCGGGCGACAGAGCGAGACTCCGTCTCAAAATAAATAAATAAATAAATAAATAAATAAATAAAATTTAAAAAAAAAACAGTTTAAGCTGTATGACACAAACGATTAATATCTAGCACATATAAAGAACTCCTAAAAATCAGTAAGGAAAAGACAAGTAACCCATTTGAAAAATGAATACAGAGTCAAACAGATGATTCACTGAAGAAATTCAGTTGGCTAATAAACATGAAAAAAAAGAAAACAGGATATTTTTCCTACATCAGGTTTACAAAAAGAAAAAAAATCAGGTTTACAAAAGGACTAATAGTACAGGATTTTAGTGCTAGTATACAGCTTGATACCTTTTTGGTGCATAAATTGTCATTATCAGAACTTTCAGAAATGTAAATATGCGTGTCCTATCAAACAACAATGTTACATCTAAACCGGAAGTCTAAAAAAATCCATACATGTAGAGGAAGATGCACAAAGAAAGAGGTGAACTCAGCCTTAAAAGCAAAAGACTTGGATATGTCTGTAATGTTTATTATTGAAGAATGGTTAAATAAATTACGGTGCATCCATGCCATGAGATGCCACACACAGTTTAAAAGTGGTGGAATGGGGGCCGGATACGGCAGCTCACGCCTGTCATCCCAGCACTTTGGGAGGTATAATGTCTTTTATGGAAAAAGTAAAAAGCATGTTTATGTGCGTAAACGTGTAAGAAAGAGGTCTGGAAATGGTAACAGTGGATGTCTCTCAGGAAGGAAGTTGGAGTGAGAGTAGGTAGAGAAGCAAGGAAATATTTTTTTCCATTTACTCTGGTATATACCAGTTTTTTGGAAATTTTCTTATACAAATGCATTTACATACTTTATATGTACTTTAACAACGTTATTTTTCAATTGTTTTAAAATGAGAGAGATGGGCCAAATCAGTGATTTCCAAATCCTTTCTTGTAACAAAATCTAATGTAGAGGCTGGGTGTGGTGGCTCATGCCTATAATCCCAGCACTTTGAGAAGCTGAGGTGGGAAGATCACTTACGGTCAGGAGTTTGAGAGCAGCGTGCTATCACGACTAAAACTACAAAAAATTAGCCAGGTGTGGTGGTGGGTGCCTGCCAGGATTGCCCCACTGCATTCCAGCCTGGGCGACAGGGCGAGACTCCATCTCAAAAAAAAAAAAAAAATCGAATGTAGAATCCGAACACAATACCTACCGTGCTTTGAACATCCACTTGGTGACCCACACTATACTAGGTGCGTTTACCTACAGTCAGTCACTCTGCTTCATCAGCCATAGGAAGTAGGTGCTATACTCATTTGAAACTTGCCCTAGGCCACGGAGCTAATGTGTAAAAACATGAAACTGAGCTACTGTGATTGAAGCAGGGGCCAGGCTGGGACTTGGACCTGGAGTCCCACTCACTTGTTCCCCCTTCACCTCTGTCACCTTCTCTAGCTCCTACCCTTCCGGTCCTAAAACCCTGAGACTTCAGTGGAATTCTCTCTCTGTCCCACGAGGCCAGCCTCAGAGTAGGTGGAGCAGGTGAATCGGGCTGGTCTTTCAGGCAATGCACTGCAAACCCAGTTTTGAGGCCAGACCACAAGGTCCTGCCTACGTGGGCTCACTCATGACTTTGTTAAAATAAAATGCAACTGAAACCACAAAACACTCTTTCTTCCTAGTTGGCACATCAAAAATATGTATACTTCTCTGCTTGCTGACTAATGTTCAGTATTGATTTCTTTTTAGTAACAAGGGGGAAAACTGTCACAAACCAGATGAAAATAGCCTTAAAGAAAGTGCAGGTCAGAAAAGGAAGTATTAGCGGGGCGTGGTGGTGCATGCCCGTAGTCCCAGCTACCCGGGAAATACTAGCGGGGTGTGGTGGTGCACGCCTGTAGTCCCAGCTACCCGGGAAATACTAGCGGGGTGTGGTGGTGCACGCCCGTAGTCCCAGCTACCCGGGAAACATTAACAGGCATGGTGGTGCACGCCTGTAGTCCCAGCTACCCAGGAAATATTAACGGGGCGTGGTGGTGCACGCCTGTAGTCCCAGCTACCCGGGAAATATTAACGGGGCGTGGTGGTGCACGCCTGTAGTCCCAGCTACCCGGGAAACATTAACAGGCATGGTGGTGCACGCCTGTAGTCCCAGCTACCTGGGAAATATTAACAGGGCATGGTGGTGCACGCCTGTAGTCCCAGCTACCCGGGAAATATTAACGGGGCGTGGTGGGACATGCCTGTAGTCCCAGCTACCAGGGAAATTTTAGCAGGGCATGATGGTGTACTCCTATAGTCCTAGCTACCCAAGAGGCTGAGACAGGAGGATCGCTTTAGCCCAGGAGGCAGAGGTTGCAATGAATTGAGATTGCACTACTGCACTCCAACCTGGGTGACAAAGTGAGACCATCTCAAAAAAAAAGAAAAAGATAAGGAAGTAGGGAACAGAGATCCCGCTGAAGGAATTGTGCGTTTCTCCTGAGAAGTACAAGGTTGGCTTTAGCAACCTCCTGATTTCCTCTTGCTGGCTGTCCTCTCGGACCTTCCCAAGCCATGCTTCTGCCTGGTTTCAAGCACAGATATGTGCGGCACTGGATTCAGCCCTACAGAGGTCTGCCGGGGACAAGCATGAGGTTTCAGCATTGAGCACAGGCCCCACCTGGGAGTAGCCCCCTGAGCTCCCGTGGCCTCTGGCTGGGCAGGGTCCGGAGAGCGTCAGGACAGGCTCTGTGAGCTGGTAATCCAGATAACCGGATGGGAAATAGGTTCCAGTGAAGGATGCTTGAATGACGTTCTTGCCAAGCCCTTGTTTTGAGCCATTCTTCACCCTCTCTGGCTGGGCCCTACGTCCTGGTGATTTTTCTTTTACATTTAGGGAGCTATAGGACCATGGAGGAACAAATGGCCCTGTTGTATCCGAGGACCAGGGTAGCCTGTGAACCTGGGTCTGTCCCAGCACCTGTCTGAGGAAAAATCCCCCCA